GTCTTCCTTACTTCCATCATACCTTCTTTTGGGGTTTCTTCTTCTTTTTATCTACTAAAGATTAGTGCTGGAAAATGTAGATTTTTAGAGAATTTGCCCCCTGGTGATGATATATGTAGAAATTTCTTCTGTAAACGTTCGTCCGACGGAGAATTATTTCTAATAAAATAAAATTGAAGACAAAACTGTCCAAAAAGGATCACCATTTATTACTTGTGTTCAGCGACTGACCTTCCTTTTTAGGCTACTTGTCGCCGTAAGGTTTATATAGTCATTTGGTTTATTATTAATACATTGGGCTTAGTGATATATTATTAATAAACCAAATTATTGCTGTAATTAATCTGCCTATTTTTCATATAATTTTAAACATTGTTTTTTATAGTTGAATTTTTCAAAATTTTTAAATACAGTCAAACCTCAGTTTATGAACTTAATTTGTTTCTGAAAGTTATTTGCAAATCAATTTGTTCTCAAACTGAAACAAATTTTCCCATAAGAAATAATGTAATGTAAAGTGTATTAATCCATTCCCAACCCCAAAACAAAGCTTTTCTTTTTTTTTTCCTTCTTCTTAAGCAGCTTTTCATGCATAAAAATGCCTACAAATGCAATATAATATAATATCTACATTTGTAATATAATATATATTTATATTAAAAGCAAAATGTTTCATCATTGCCAACCGAAACCAAAACTAACACTTTTTGTAAAGTGCTCTAAATAGAGACTTGACTCTGCCTGGATATAACCAAATGAATCAAAACAGACAAGTACTACTTTATCCACATTTTCTGAAATATTTTGATTTAAATTTAAATTACTTTTATGCTAGTGGAGTCTTGGTCTTACAGTCAAAGAGAGTAAAGAAAATTATTTACATTCTGATGTAAATTAGTCTTGTCTTTACAATTTTTGAAAATTGAATTGTTAGATAGTTAATTTAATAATAATAGTCTGTCAACTGTAATTAATTAATTAAAATTAATAATTGATTTCTGGTAGATTAATAATAATAAAAATAAATTTTTCTTATATTTTTAATTACTTTTTGCTTTTGTTATCAACTATATTTGAGTGATGTAGAAATTTACACATTCTTACAATTGTTATCATGTAAACAGACCAAATTTGTAGATAATAAAATCAGTTGCATAAGCTATCAAAGAATTGGATTAGTTTCATAAAAATTTAATGATTCAAATTGACTCTCAGAAGTTTGCTTTTCCTGTCTTTGACAATTTGAGAATGCATTTAATTCAAGGATAATTATTATTATTAAGTATCAATTTTAGTAATTAATTAATTAATGAACTGTAATGTTCTATTAATTTCACATTCAAACCTTTAAATGCAGTATACTTTTAATTATACTCCAACATTTTCAGTCATTTTTAATGACCACCTTCAAAGAAAACAATACATACTAAATATAGAATAATGCTGTAAGTGTAGAACTTGTTAACTCAGTTTGAAAATTAACATATTAGAATGTAATTTTACAAATTGAAATTCACATGCCAAATGTTTGTTATTTGTTTAAAAATACAATAACCACTAAAAATTTTACAGTAAAAAAAAAAACAATATAGTATAGACTTAATATAAATAAATATATGTATAAAACTAAAATAAATCTTGATAAATATGGATAAATAAATAAAGCTCTGTGTCATATCAGTAGTGCTTTCCATGCTCTCAATGTTGCATTGCAGTCTCTGCGATTGATTGCTTGCCCCTTTTGTATTTGTATTGCTTTATAAATTTTCCAAGCTCTGGAGTGTTTTATCTACTACTTTTTCTATATTCTTTTGTATTATTTTAGCTGGTTTCAAACCACTGAGACAGAGGTAGGATCAGCAAGCACATATGTTGTGAGTGCTATATTAGGGATGGCTTTATTGATGATGTCTTTATGCTCTTTAATTCTTGCTGCTAGTGATCAATTAGTTGCTTGATATAACATAATTCTTGCTTTACTCTGCTGTCTTCTAGGGTTATTTGGTAAACCCTCAGTACATGGGTTGGATCAGTGGGCTGTTTGTTGTTCTGGAGTAGCCTATAAACAGTTGGATTTCTTTCAAACATTATTTTTTTCTTCCTGCTGATTGACCTATTTCCTTACGTTTTACCAAGGGGGGCCCTGTACTCCATCACTGTATATTCTGCTTGTGCCTCTTGTGTTTTTTTTATCATGCATTTCTTGATCAATGCTTTGATATTTTTCAGTTTAAATCCAAATTGGTGCCCTAAAGAACTAATATATTCCAGCTTTTATTCTTTATCTTGTACATTTACATAGTATGTGTGTGCTTTTTTGTCAGCATTCTAAAAGATGCCATCTTATAGTTGTTTGGATCATGAGATGCCCGTGATATAAATATTGGATTTTATGTGGGTTTTCTATATTTTCTATATTATATTCTGTGTGGTAATTTCACCTCCTTTCAGCATGACTGTGACATCTAAGAAATGTGTAAAAATATCACTTTCTTCTTCTAACTGAATTTTTAACCTGATGGGTTCACATTGACATCACTTATGAATTTCTTGATGTTAGGTTGTTTCTTCCAAATTATTAAGACATCATCTATGTATCTGGCATACAGTGCTATGTTTTCATAGTACTTAGGCAAGATTGCATTTTCCAGTGACCATTTTGCAGTGTGTTTCTGAAAAGGCACTTTCCACGGGGATCCCTTTATTCAGATTGTATGTAATTCCATTAAACAAGGAGGAGGATGAATATGTTGCTGTGTGTGCTAATGCCAGTACAGTGGGTGATTGGTTAATGAACATAATCCATTCCAAGACCATGTTTACTATCTGAATTGTTCATTAACTGATTATTGATTTACCATAGATTTTTATGGAAATTTGATTAATTTGTTCTGGAGACCAAAAAAAAAAATTATATACTTTCTTATTATATTTATTTGTATGTAATAATAAAAATACATATATACAAAGTCTTGAATTTTATCAGTCATGTTTTTTTCTGTTTGTGGGGTGTTAAAGAATCTATCCAATGTTGACTGCTTTTCTATCTTCTTCAGGATTTTTAGGAAATAATTAATAGTATTGTCATTGCAGAGATCCCTAAGCCTATTAACATCAGCCTGGTTTGGATGCCATTCTAAGACTGTTGTTCTGACATCCTTCCACTTGTTCAAAAGATCTTTAATCAACAATGGTCCTCTTTTTCAGAAAAAAACATATCTTGCCGAGTTTCTTGATGTTCTTCATTCAAGAGTTCTTGGAGTTCTTCTGTCATCAGATCAGTTTTAGGTTCCATTATGAGCTCTTCAATGTTCTTTGTTTCTCAGATGTGATTTTCGTTACTCCTTTAGCTGCTTGAATCTTCTTGATTATATCTTTCTTAGATAAGATTGTGCCTACTGTAGACCTGTTCAAGCCTTACTGCAAAGCAACATCAGACATCTGCCCCCTCTACCATGGCTGTTAAACTCGCCTTTCAAAAATAAAAACTGACACAAACTTAACAAGTCTCAGCCTGCTCAATAGTCTCATGAAGACTATAAAAAAATTCTTTGTCAGAAAGGTAAACAAAAAAACTGGAATTACAAGGGAGTTTCAAAGAAGGGAATACTATTCAATCAGTATATACCAGGTTGAGTGTCAATGTCAACATCTCCCACACTCTGAAAATTTTGAATTGTTACCTGGAGACATGCTGCTTCTTGTGTTTGTTCTGTGAGGTGTTCGTTGTCCAAATGTAAAAATCTTTTGTGAAAGTGCTCATCGTTTGATTTGTTTGCAGTCTGAACTGCAAACAAATCAAACAATATTCGTTAACTGATCACCCACTGTATTTGTTGCAGTACAGTATTTTTTTAGCATTGTTAAGAGACTTTTTACTGGAGAAAGTTATGTGGCAAAAACATGGCTCTAGCTTTATGGAAGAGTATAAATCTTTAAAGTCTAGCATTGTAACCTACTCCTCCTCATATAATTTCAGTTGATGGCATTTCTGGGTTATCTCATAATGGTTGTGTAATGCTTAATTCATGCAGTGGCAGGTGCTTACTGATGTAGATATTGAGTGCTTGTTATAAGGCAATAGTAAACAACATTTATCCATTGTCCTTATGCATTTCCCTGCTTTGTGGATTTTTGTGAACCCATTCCAGTCAGCCTTGGGGAAGATAGACACATTTGTCATTTTTAGTTTTAGTGGTTGTGAACCTTTTTACCCTTTTTTGCAGACAATCAATTAAGTTTGGAAGGGCTGTTGTGCAGGCATTGCTTCAGTGTATTCTATAAGGAACTGGCTATATGTAGATGTTTTAAGTATTACTATATCTTTTTTAATTTGTCTATTTTAAGACTACATCATTGTCAGAAAGCTATCTTTTGATTTCTTTTCTCATCCTCCATATTGGGCTGTTCATAGAGCATGTGCATTCTTTAATTTTGAAGGTCACTTTCCATCTAAATAATTCCTTCTACATTTCATTCAACCCTTCTACAGCTTGTTCAATCTCTGGTATAATCTTTTTGATCTGCATCTTAGGTGGTGGTATGTATTTTGGGGCTGTATTTCACTGCAAAGTATACTGAATTTAAAGCTATAAGTGTGAAATTAGTAGTATTATCAAAGTGCAGTTTGTCAAAGCACTGTAATCTAAATATTTTTTAAATATTTGAAAAGTTTTGGTCATATTTGCTTTTTGAAACTTTTCACTAATAAACTCTTAATTAATTAGATTAATGTAATAGTCTCATGAATTTTACAGAAATGTTTTCTGTTTATTATTTTTACATTTAAAAAAAATGCTAACTTATTTTTCTTGAATTTTAGTACAGTATTTACTTCTTTAGAATTTTTACTATTCTGCTTATTCTTGAAATATCATTAAATTTATTTAACTTTTGTTAATTCAGTATAATCATGAACATTCAAGCAATGCTAAAATTTTATTAAAATGTTGTTCTAATTGAGAAACCATAAATTTTTTAAAATTTAATTATTTTTTTTATTTCAGATGGCTTTTTACAAGCAAAACAATAAAATACCAGCAACTTATGAATCATGTAGTACTTCAGCATTTAAACATGGTCGGACAGAGACAGTGCGTTCAGCAACGACAGCAACAAAGACATGTGTTGAAGCATTTACCAAGAAAAAAAACAAACCATCACCCAGTGAATTAAGAACAATGTTAAATGATTGTTCCAAAATTCATAACCAGTTAACAAAAGAAGCAGCAATGGGTAAATAAATTTTTCATTTTATAAAATATTATTGTGAAATCTACGAGTGAGACAAAGACACAAAATTGAAAATAAATAAAAGAAAATACAATAATTTTATTAACTCGCTCGTTATGATACAGGTTTCTAAGGATAAAAACGATGCTACACCCACCGAATAATTCACACAATTAATTATTCAACCACTGTACAATATAGTCTCCCAACAAAGAATGCGCATGTGTAGTCCTTTGTCTGACACAATGATCCAATTACTTAAAATTATATTAATTAAAACTAGATTCTTATTATTACTTACAACTATTGAATAAAGAAGGCTTATTAGAAAATTTAGAGAATGAAAGTAAGGAATGAAAAGAGGGTACCCAAAACTTGATGAGGTATGCTACTTGTATGGGATTGTGGATGAGATGTCTTGTTGGGTTGGTGACTAACTTCTCTTTTGTCAATCTCCAAGATAATAGTTTGAAGGGCTGATGCATCTTGTTCCTCACAATTAATTTCTCTTTATTTCTCAGTTCCAAGGTTCTCGTCTCTACGATACGATGCTAAACGTACTGGGGAGACTCCATTTCGCTCTCTCTCCTTCAGGTTTCTGCCTCAGAATGACCCATGTGTTTGCCCCCTTCCCCTCAGGGCTGCATTCCACTTCTTTGTTTCTGGGGTTAGTCATCCACATACCAAAGCAAAGGTGAAAACGAGAACATTCCAGGAAGGGTAGACAAATAGGACAGAAAGAGGGGAAGCAGAGAATATACAATATAAAATAATACAATTATATACAAAATATACAATTTAAATATGGCATGTAGCCACATTATAAAGTAATTAATATTTATAAAACTTTAAAAATAAAATGTTTGTTTTCATTTAATTACAATAAAAAAATAGACAGACAAAATATTTCAATAATTTATGTTTAGTATTAGTGTTTCAATAATAATTTATATATTTATGTAGGTCAAGGTTTTGATCGACATTTATTTGCAATGAAGTATTACATTGAAAAGAAAGGGGAAAAGCTGCCAGAAATATATCAAGATTCTACCTATATCAAAGCCAATCATTTCCATCTATCAACATCCACATTATATGGAACAGCATTTAGTGGTGGTGGTTTTGGTCCAGTAGTGGAAGATGGATATGGTGTTGCCTATGGTTTTCATGATGAATTACCAGGATGTGCTGTGAGTTCTTACTCTACATATAGGAATGGTAGAGAGTTTGCAGAATGTATTGAATCCTGTTTAAATGATATATATCAGGTATTGAATGCTACACGTAAAATTGACGGATAAATTTCTGTTAAATGCTTATTTATAAAATATATAAGAAATAAAATCAACAAATTTATATATACAATATATTTTTTTAAATTGAATGAAATTTTATAAATTTTATATAAATAATTGTATGTACAGTGCACTCTTGCTAAATCTTATTAATTATGATACAAGATTGTTTGGATAAGCAATATTATGTATAAAGAAAAGGAAGTCAAAAAGACTACAGAGTAATGTATATAGTATGTTTCTTTTGTTTACAGTATATAAAATATATACAGACAGTATTTTTATTTTGTAATCATAAAAAATGTTATCAGTTATAATGTTACTAAAATTAGCAATTCCCAAAACAAGTCAAAATACATTGTAAAAACTTTGTTTATTGTACTCACAATTTTATTATAATCTTCAGATAAATAGGCCTTTTTAAGCTCTCTTCATGCTATCAGCCTTAACATATAACTGATAACATGCAATTGTTATCAATTATTGTTTTGTCTTAATTAATTCTTTAAATGATAATCATTGTTATCATTTGTTTGTAGTACAATAGTTTAACAGCATCTATAGCATAATGCCATTTAGTTGGTGGTAGATAAACAATACTGAATGAATTATATAGAAATTAATTATAATAATTATAATTAATAAATCTTAATGTTATCAAATCATGGTTATTATCAGTTTAGGTGAGTTCCAAACTGATCAAATAAGTATTTTTGAAAATTTCTTATCAGTACTATATCTGGCATGAACACATTATGTTAAAATGTGTAGTAGATATAAATTTTATAAATTCATTGTTTTAAAAAAATTGTGATTTCTTTTGGTTCTTCTAGCGTCTAACAGAAAAATAAACAAAATTCATTCAGATTGCCAAGAGTGCATTGTATTTATAATGAAATCAAGTTTATCTATTTTTTTCTATTGAATGTTAATTTTTGAATAAATGTTACTGATTATTGAGACAATCAGTTAATTTGTTCTTAATTATTCAATTTAACTTAATAAGCCCATTATTAGCTTATTCAAGTTATTTATTTTTTTCTTAAATCAAAAGTATTATTCATCAGTTATAATTTTGAATAAAAATTTTAAATAAAAACTTCTGAAATTTGTTGTTAAAATTTTTATTTAATCACAAAAAGACTTAAAATAATAATTCAGAAGTTTGAAATGTTAAAAGATGTAAAATAAATGTATACATATATTTTTCACTTTGTTTTTTCTAAAATGTACTGTATTAAGATAATTTACAAGTAAATAGAATATATGATACAGTAGTTTTTCTTGATGTGATGTGGCTATTAGATTGCATTTATTGCTTTCTGCATTCACATTTAGTATACTGTGTTTTTTAACTATAAAATGTATTCAGTTTAAAGATCCAGCAACAAGTTACTTAACTGTCAACATTTAAAACTGCGTGTGTGGCGCCATTTATATTTTATTAAAAACTTTGTATTTTTCATTATTATAAAATGGAAAAATTTAACTTTGAGGGTAGGAATGGGATATATAAATTATAAATGCTAATAACGAGTAAAATTGTCATTTAAGTTTGACCCTATATGTGACCCGCTTTATCTATCCACCTGTCGACCTTTAACCAAAATTTTATAGCATCAATCCACTAATAAACATCTTGATGCAAAATTTCAGAAATGTTGACGCAAAGTACAGGAGTTAAGCTTCAAAGAGAGTGAAAAAATCATGCCCCACACTAACATCTATAAGCTACATATAAAAACATCCCTATTTTTTCCATTTCTAGATGTTTCAAGATCTCGGTCCCAAAAATATAAAAAACTTGGGGTCATTTTTTGACCGATTGCCATAGTTTCCCTCTGTTATATATAACAGCGAGAAACGTAAAATTGATCGGACTTTAATTTTTTCAATATGCCGTGCCAATTCTGAATCATTCAAACTCTGAGGCATATTAATTTAATGGTACTTAATGTCCTTAATTTATTCAAATATTATTTCATTCACCAGTACAGTGCATATTTCTATTAATAGGACTTATTAAACTGACATTTAAGATTACTGAAACTTAGTCACATAGATTAAAATTGTTTTATTTACATTACACTGTACTGGTGAATGAAATAATGTTCGAAATACCATGCTTGTTTATTTAATTATGGCAACGCAACACTTGCGCGATCTGCCTAGGGGAGGCCTGCCGGGAGGTCTTTTTAAGGGTAACTGGCCCTATTCAAGCGTTACAGACGTGGAGAAAACCCGGAAAACACTACTTGGCCAGCCCGTCCTGGCGATGCGCGAACCCACGACCGAGCTCCCAGTGTTTAGGGAACAACCGTTTGGACACTGGTGGACCTCGAAGTACCACGCACCACTGTACAGTATGTTATCTTTGTTTCCGTGAATTTTGATTTTTGAAATAAATTTTGTTATAAAATTTATGGATCCTATAGTGTTTAAGTACTAAATTACAAAGTTAAGTTTCCTATGGCATGTCTACATGAGCAACTGATCGTTTAAAAGTCAAAATTATATGATGGCCAGATGACAGCCTACCGCTCTGGGGATCCGGGATCGAATCCGGACGAGTCGTAAAATCCCCAGGAATTTTTTGGGGGATGATCCGACCAGATATGTCTGTCCCCGTCCCTCACCACCTGGCCGAACCCATAATGGGCTTACTGTAAGAGGCCATTTAAGTGCCCACAGGGCAGACAGTTATAAAAAAAAGCCAAAATTATATTGGAGTTTGTATCGATTTCACAGCAACAATTTTATAAACTATTGAATTATAAGAAATCTTGGGGATTAAAGAGAGTTCTATTCAATAATAAAACTTGCTTCTAAAAATTAAAGAAACACCTTTTACATTTCTAAGAAAAATTTTAATAATGTTGTGTGTAGAAAGACAAACGTTTCTTATGCATTTGACAGGTTTTTAAGACGCTGTAGCAGTTTTTGTTCAACGAACTTCGGGCGATAGATTTATATGTATCTGACGTCACAAGTTTTACATTCTTTTCGTAAAAAAATATGGTTGAATAAATAATGAATTCACTCGAAGAAAAATAATAAATTTACTTTTAAACATAATGACTTTTTAACTTGCACATTTTAGAGGAGGCTAAGAGTTCGCCTACAGAATCGTCAAGAGATTTTTGAAGCCGAGAGGCAATGAAGAAATTGTGATCTGGCTTCGTTGTAAAACCGAACCACTACATATCATGCATACCAATGCTATATCTTAACATGGTGTCAAGAAAACAACTTGTAAGTGATTTGCCATTTAAGAGAATAACATTGAGATCCACAAAATTTACTCATCAATTGAAGATAAACAGAATATATCGACGATTAACAGAACATATCGACGATTAAATGCAATTGAATTAAAATTTTAATATATACGAGGAGTGTTCAAAAAGTATCGGACCTTTATTTTTCCCGCGTAAACCAATGATGCACGGGAGGTCTCTTTCGGTGGAGTTGTGGAGGGGACAGTCATGCACAGTCCTGAATTTTTTCCCGCCTGCAGGAAGCGTCAGTCGCTGGCAGTCGGCCTATGAGTGAGGACGTGTAGTGAGCGCTCGTCGGATTCCACTAAGTTGGAAAATGACAACAACGTGAGCAGCGATATTGCATGAAATTTTTTGCAAGATTCAGCAGGTTTTCGGGGACGATCCTCGAGGCCAAAAACAGCGCGGCAATGTCAAAGTCATGTTGAGTTTTTTCGACTCCCGTGGGGTGGTGTATCGTGAGTGCGCACCACAAGGCCAAACCATCGCAAAGGAGAACTACCAGGAGCTCCTTCGTCATCTTTGTGATGCTGTGCGACGCAAACGACCGGATCTGTGGTCATCCAAAACTTGGCAGCTCCATTATGATATGTGCCCGCCCATTCTGCGCATTTGATTCGGACTTTTGTCGCCAAACATAACATTCCTGTCGTTCGTCACGCTCCGTACTCTCCCGACATGAGTCCGTGTGACTTTTGGCTATTTTCCAAGCTGAAGATGCCGCTAAAAGGAACCCGATTTTAGTCAAGAGAAGACATCATGCGGAATGCGAAGGACCGGCTGATGGCCATTCCAAAAGATGCGTTCCAGCAGTGTTTCCAGCAATGGCAGGAGCGCTGGGAGAAGTGTATACATTATCAAGGAGACTACTTTGAAGGGGATTAGGTTTTGTACCTCAAAATCAATAAATGTATTTTTGCCGACCAAAGGTCTGATACTTTTTGAACACCCCTCGTATATTAAATTATTGGAACTTTTCACTATAAATTGAATGAATTATTTTAATTTTGAGTTTTAGGATTTTATTTTAATTTTTTAAAAGTATTTGCTTTATTGTCGTTCTCTTTTCGACAAATTACCTATTTTTTCAATTTAGCATTTAATAAATTGAAATATATTCAGTAATTGTCTGTATGTAATCAATCGTTTAACATTATGAAAGTTACATAAATTTGCTACGCGAAAAAATATTCCAGTATTATATACAGCATTTAAACATCTATAATTTTCTATCTAAATTAACTTTAAGTAAGTACTGATGGTTTGTCTGGTGCTTCCAAAACCTGCCTGCCTTGGCATACCTTGTATATCCGCTTCCTCAACATCAGAATGGCCCAGATGGCGGGCAATTCGGCGAAACGGTCATCCCGATTCTCTCAGTCCTATGATGTGGCCTTTCTCAAATTCCATCAGCACTTTGTAATATCTTTTGAATGCATCGTGCAAGCACACCTGGAACTCAAGAGTGAAAATTCTAACCACATCGTATAGGTTATTCAGTATTCTGTAAAAAAAACTCGCGGAGCCTTTTTATAGGAAACTGAATATACGATAGACTACTGAAGTAATTTTAAGATACCCTGAAGTCATTATCTGACGTGTAATTGGACCACAACTGTAATCATTTACGTACATGTCTGAGGCAAAGCTTTGCAGTAATCAGACAATTCTATCTGGTTGCTTTTTTGTCAAACGTTTTTACATTCATTGACGAAAAATGTTACAGACCCAGAAACTACTAACAGAAATTTTAGATTTTTTGACTTTGTATTACTTCGGATTCAGGATACCAAGTAATTCTTTGTCATGCATACATACATATCCTCACGCTTATAATCCGAAAAGGGTGAGAAGCAGACAAAAGGAGACTACAATCTTGCAAACTATCTATCGAGCAACTTTCTTCACAGATTCCTGTCCAGACACACTTCCTTTGCTTCAGACTCGATCATTTCTCTTCTAGCACACGTCCTCACATTGTCTTTCTGGCTCAACACCTTACGTTCTTTCAGATATTCATCCACTTGTTCCAACCAAGACTCTCGGCCTTCCCCTATTCCGCTTCCCATAGTTTGTCTACATTTAATTTACAAAATCATGTTTTAGTTGTTTCAAAAATGTATCAACATTTAATAAAAATGAAGCAGATTCCCGACCTTTCTTTTTCAGAATTTTTTTTATTCCGATTTTGATTCTTGAAAATATAGTAACCCTTATAATAATGATAGATCGTTTTTACATTTAAAATAAATACGGTGCAGGTAACATATCTTTCATTTAAAACTTTTATATTTTACTATTATAGCTTATATAAAAATATTTATTATATCAACAAATTCCTGCAAATTTGATAAATGCAAAACGATCATATGTTTATTTGTTTATACTTGTTTACGCTTTATAATGTGTAAATATTGCCACGATAACATAGAAAACTGGATAATAACTGGATTAATGATAAATCAATAATATGTAAGTTTTAAATTCACGATTAACTTATAGTTTCGTCTAAGTTGTGTGGTGTTCGTTTATAGTAAAATAATTTGTGATGAGGATATTTGTATTTAGGCTACTATAGTTCAATTGGTCTTCAAATTATATAGGGTGTTTCAAAGATGTTTGGCCAAATTTTACAGGTTAATAGAGGGAAAAACCTGAATAAAACGGCCGGTTTTGACTTGAAGTTTAATTAGATTGTTAATTAATGTCAAAGTGACGTCATTTTCGTTTTTTTAAGTTTTACTGTACAATATATCAGTAATTAAATTCGTTTACTCTTCACACGAGTTTTTTAAATTAAATATATTTTAAATTAATACCTTTTATAATCTAATTAATTAATTCAGCCAAGGATACATTTGCAGCCTTTCATCAGAGTCTTCGACAAACTGGAATTTCAATAGTGACTATTGATAGATGAGCAAGAATTGCACGAACACCGTATGTGGAGTAACAAGTCATTCTATTCTATTCTATTCTAATAAAAGACAAGAGGGGCTATCTGCAATTTAGTGCAAACTTTACCCCTGTATGAATAGGAAGGAAGAGTAAAAGAAAGTAAGAGTTAGAGAGCAGAGGAAATAAAGGAAGATAGGAAAGTGTGAAATAAGCAACCATAAGGCCCCCACAGGACCCCATGGGCGCCCGCATCGCCTTTATTAAAACAATATTTACAGAGGAATACAAATAGTTAACAGTAACATTTTTACATACAGATGCAATTAACAGAAGGATGCATATCTTTTGCATCAAAGTATATACAAACATATTAATGGATAAATAAATAATAATTGAACACAATGGATAAATACAGTTTTGGTTACATTATTAAACAGTAAATTTTTGCTTACATAATAGGAATTCGAATGGTTGGTTGAATAATTTTATACATATTTACAGTTATAACAGTTTAGAATGGGATGCAATACTTATTACATTAATGAAATATTAANTTTTAAACACTAATAACACAATGCCAAGAAATAGTGAACTTTTATAAGCTGAAATTTGAAATATATATGAATTACGAGGTGCCTGAAAGTTTCAGAGAAATAGCTACAATAATTAATCATTCTGAAATTGCTGTGGCCAATGTATAGACAAAACAATAAAATTATGGAAAATGGAGAAAAGCGGATGCAAGAAAAAATTAACTGATAGGATAAACAAAAGGTTTTCTTCCTTAGCTGCTAATTGTTGTTTTGTATCTACTAGAAAGTAGCTGGTAATTATCAAAATTTATGTCCCATCAGACATATCGTATGATGGGACACAAATTTAGGTTCGCGATAACAACATAAAATACTGAAAAATGAAAGTAATACCTAACTCGATATCTGTTCACAAGCAACAAAGACTTCAATAGGCTAAATCTGTCATGAGCTGGACCAAGGAGTGAAAAAAAGTTTTTTCTGATAAAAAAATAAAATTTAGACGGACCAGATAGTTATGGATATTACTGGCATGATGTGAAAAGAAAAGCCAAAGTTAGAATGAGCAGTCAATTAGGAGGTGATAGTATAATGGTTTTTGATGCTTTTGGATTCGATGGGGAAAGTATATCAGGATATATTAAAAAATAATATAAGTGCATTTGGGTCTTTAAGTGGAAGTAATTGGGTATTTCAACGAGACAATGCTACAATCCATGCATCAAAATCAAATATGATTTGGTTTATTAATGAAAACATAAAAAAAGTACTGTATTAGAGTAGCCTTCTAGAAGTCAGGCCTTAGCCCAACAGAAAATTTATGAAGTATAATAACAAAAATAGTTTATAGTCAAAACAAGCATTATTATTAAGTAAACCAGTTAAAATTAGCAATTATGGATGCTTGAGAAAACATGAAGTGAAACAATTGCAAAACTCGATTCGAACTATGCCTGATAGTGTGTTTGATGTCATTCAAATGAAAGGAGGTCCAACTAAATATTAAATTATATGAATTTTGCCAAAAATATGGCCTCCTTATAATTACATTGTTACATTTAAAAATGCAGTTAATTTCAAAAACAGCTTATTTTAAATATCATCAAACATTAATGACAATGATTTTTAACATTGCTTTGTGTTTATTATTATATGTTAAATTTCAAAAGTATATTACAAATTGAAGTTGAGTAATTAAAACTAATGGGTTACCCCAGTGACGTAGCGTAGTGGGGGCTGCAGGGGTGGCAAAATTTCACAATAAATAATAATATCTTGTAAAAATTTGAACCATTTCATTTCATATTTTTGTCGCACCTACGATTCGGACCGATTGAAATGAGCACGGAATTTTTCATTACTTATTCTGTGACGAAACTGAATTTTAGTCTTTTAAATTGAGATACCTAAATAAGGGGGCGGCGAAATTTTCCTCCACCCCGGGAGGCTGACACCCACGCTACGCCACTGTGTTGCCCTCATAATTCTGTCACAAGATCGAAAACGAAAGCCAACAACTGTATCAGTTTATACTTGTTATTTTAAGCTTGTATACCTTTCTAAACGCTCTGTTTTTGTCCGTCCTATAATTCGTTTAATTTCTTTCGTAATTTAGCAACTGTTACATTCTTTAAGTCCATGTTTTTATAAGTTTGTTAAAACTTTCCGTTTAGTTTCCACTATTTACTCACTATCGGAAGTTAAGTATACATCAACCTGACACTAGTGCCACAAGTGACGAAAGTTAAACATTGCATGCCTCATTGGTGAAGAACTTAGTACAAGACAAATAGCTAGAACACTAGGCTCCAATCATTCAAGTGTATGGCGTGTTTTTTGTGAATTGTGTCGATACCATATACAGCGAGTACAAGTACTTGCGCCACGCGATTTTCCTTCACATATGATTTTGCAATGGTGTCTGAAGGGGAATATTAATTAATCGTCGTTTTTACAGATGAAGCGTTATTACTGATACATTACATAGTTAGAATTGAAAACGGAAATGATGTCAGTACACTTTAACGCTTAACAATTCTCTAATTTTCAGATTAAAAAAAAAAGCCTCCGACTTTTTATTCAAGTTTTCCGTCTATAAGACTGAAATTTGGCCAAATATTTCTGAAACATTCTGTTTATAATTTGAAAATACTAGAATAAAATAAGTTATTTTCTTGACATTATCGTAAAAGAATATCTGGTGAAATTTTGTTTATATTTTTCAAGAGTCAAACATTTTCGCTGTTTTATTTATCATTTAAAATTAAAATAGTAAATTGATTAAAGGATATAGGATACATGTTTATGACGTATAACAAAAAATATACGATTTGCAATAGGATGATCAATATTTAATTCAAAAATATTTATTTTTGAACCTAAATAACGCGATATTGCGCATGTGAATTAACATAAAACAATAATATATAAAAGTTTTGCCATTCCAGTCGAGTTATAACTCCTAATTTTTCATATATAATATAACTTGTTTTGATTAAAAAGATATTATTACGAGATATTCTGAAATGGATAAAATAGAATAAAACACATCCGTCAATCGTCACAATTGTAATAAAATGGATACAGCCTCCTCAACAATTATCTTGTCAATCTTGCTTTTATATTCAGGTACTATATTTATTTATTTTTAAATTAAAAGAATAAATTATTTTTCGTAAATTTATAACTTAATATAGCTTTTATACTTATAAAAAGTTAATAATGTTAATTGCTTGATAGCACATTTAAATAATTTAATATTTGATAAAAGAACAATATAATTAGTTTATAGTGAGTCTACAACTTTAATTAAATGCAATAAATTTATATAATTTTAAACAATTTCTTAAATATTTTCATACTTTAAGCGCAAACAGTTTAGAGGTAGAAGATAAGTAATTGTTAATTAATATTTGAAATGAAATATTTCAAATATTAAAATAATGCGAAGAAAATATTGGTTACTTGTTAGTGTAATATTTTTCAGTTAGAATTATGAAGGAGACGGATATTTTATTTTTATGTTTTAACAGTCACGTTGTTAGGAGCCTACGGCATTAGCAAAGGTTCGCGGATCAATCTTTGCGATGAGAAAATGATTGATTCATTTACAACTACGTTTGATTCTTGTCTTCGCAGAGACATTCAAAATATACAGGAAAACGAAAATTATGAACCATTATCTGGGTAAATTTCTTATTCTTTATTTTATTAAAATAATTTCTTTTTCTTATATTTTCTTTAATAAAAATAAACTAAACTAATAAAAAAGCTTATATTATATCGCAAATTGAAGATATATAATATAAATTATTTTTAATGTAATTAATTAGCAAAACTTGAGAGTTTTAGTAATTTTATATAAAACTTATGACTTATAAGTCAAAAATTTATATAAGAATTCATTATCTTTTTATTTTTTTCAATAAATAAGGAAAATTTTTAAGTAGGGATCTGGATCCCGGGTCCCTACTTATTATTCCGGAGATCCTGGATCGAATCCGCGGGTGCGACCTCAGGAAATTTTCATGGGCAGTCTGTTTCAGATACGTAGGACCCTGTTCCTTGTTACTCGGTTGTCGGGCTGAACCCACGATGGGCCTGGGGAAAAGATCCACTTAGTGCCCACGGGGCTAAAAGAGCTAAAAATAATTCTTATATTATTGAGATTGCATGAAATAATCAAATAAAATATAGATTTGAATTGCTTACATTTTAATTAAATTACATAAATCTAATTTCAAACTTGATATATTTAGTTTTAGTACACAGTATTTGTACGTGGAGTTGTAATGAAATTATTAACATTTTAATACGACGTCAAATGTTTACTGTATTTATAATCGCAAAATTCAATAGTCAATTATCACATTAGATTCAAGCATTTCAAATACAGTACTATCTTTTCTACCAGCTAAATACTTTTATTGCCAAGGTTAAGTAAACATTGTTAAAAATAATTATATTGTTTATGTAATTCAATTCGAGTAAATAAAAACATGGAAAAGTTTGACATTCTAATAATAGAAAGATTTTTTTAAAATAAATAATACAAATATTTTCTCACGTAATTACAGTAAAAAATATGAAATTCTGTGTATTGAATGATTATTTTCACACTTAATCCTAACTTAATCCGACTTGATTTTTGTTAAAATAAGAGATTTATATGCGAGTGTAATATCTAATACTAGGATTAATTCTTCATGCTACAACAAAACTTTAAAAATTTCTCTGAATTTTCAAAATGAGGCAATTCATTATAACCATTACTTTTTTCTTAGACAAGAGTTTAAAATTTTTCGATTAAATATTTAATATATTTAATCTAAAACTTTCAAAGAAATTTTTGAGCTTTTAAGTTAAGATATTAGTAGCTTTAGAATGATTGCTGTTTTTTGTTTAAAATAAACATTGTAATAAAATTCGAATAAAATTTATGTTCTAATTTACATATGCTTATTATAAATTCAAATACGAACGTATTTTTTTACCTAAAAGAAAGAATACAATCCTCTTTTTTAAAGAGTTTAACCCTTAATTAAACTTTTATTCTATTTATTTGATGACGAAACAAATTATTTTCTGTATATAACTGTATTAAATAAATGCTTCAGGATATTTATTGATATTTTAGACCATGAATAATGTATTGGAATTTGAAAATATTTATTATAAATAATTTAACGTTATCATCATCATAACAGTTACTTATCAAATAACTATTTTCTGGTGAATGTTTATAACTTGATCTGTAACATTATACATAATGTGAAAAAATATTTGATCGTATGTGACGCTGGTATTGATTGTGGATGGTATTTTAGTAGTAATCTAGAGTTACCGTGTATACTTTGTTACGTACAGTAACTCCAAATAAGCATAATTCATAGTCACATATAATTACTGGTCCGTGATGAGAAAAAGGTTGATAAACACTGGCTTAGACACTTAGCCCATCTGTCCACAAAGCGTATCGTCATAGACGCGTTCGAGATTCAACTTGCAGCGACACTTATTGGAATGCGTGCACCTACGCCCATTCCTTCGTGGTGTTGCATCACTTCATCCGTTAGTCTCTCCTTTTTCAAGAAGGACAAACAAAGAAAGTCTAAATTTTGAGATTATATACACATCTCTGTAACTGAATTCTCTGTATCTCCTAATTAAAAATTTTATACTGTTTTTCTTTTCATGCTGACATTTCTGCGATTGTACATCTTTAGATAAAGCAACGTATAAAATTGATTAGAACTCTGTGTTGTCTTGTGAGAATCTCGAAGACAACAATTACTTAGACGACTACAAAGCTTCAAATTCGAGAATAATAATTTAACAATTCGTGGAATAAGGCTTAACTTACGAAAAGGAAAGTTGGTCTTCTATCGTTCTACAANTTGTCAAACGTTTTTACATTCATTGACGAAAAATGTTACAGACCCAGAAACTACTAACAGAAATTTTAGATTTTTTGACTTTGTATTACTTCGGATTCAGGATACCAAGTAATTCTTTGTCATGCATACATACATATCCTCACGCTTATAATCCGAAAAGGGTGAGAAGCAGACAAAAGGAGACTACAATCTTGCAAACTATCTATCGAGCAACTTTCTTCACAGATTCCTGTCCAGACACACTTCCTTTGCTTCAGACTCGATCATTTCTCTTCTAGCACACGTCCTCACATTGTCTTTCTGGCTCAACACCTTACGTTCTTTCAGATATTCATCCACTTGTTCCAACCAAGACTCTCGGCCTTCCCCTATTCCGCTTCCCATAGTTTGTCTACATTTAATTTACAAAATCATGTTTTAGTTGTTTCAAAAATGTATCAACATTTAATAAAAATGAAGCAGATTCCCGACCTTTCTTTTTCAGAATTTTTTTTATTCCGATTTTGATTCTTGAAAGTATAGTAACCCTTATAATAATGATAGATCGTTTTTACATTTAAAATAAATACGGTGCAGGTAACATATCTTTCATTTAAAACTTTTATATTTTACTATTATAGCTTATATAAAAATATTTATTATATCAACAAATTCCTGCAAATTTGATAAATGCAAAACGATCATATGTTTATTTGTTTATACTTGTTTACGCTTTATAATGTGTAAATATTGCCACGATAACATAGAAAACTGGATAATAACTGGATTAATGATAAATCAATAATATGTAAGTTTTAAATTCACGATTAACTTATAGTTTCGTCTAAGTTGTGTGGTGTTCGTTTATAGTAAAATAATTTGTGATGAGGATATTTGTATTTAGGCTACTATAGTTCAATTGGTCTTCAAATTATATAGGGTGTTTCAAAGATGTTTGGCCAAATTTTACAGGTTAATAGAGGGAAAAACCTGAATAAAACGGCCGGTTTTGACTTGAAGTTTAATTAGATTGTTAATTAATGTCAAAGTGACGTCATTTTCGTTTTTTTAAGTTTTACTGTACAATATATCAGTAATTAAATTCGTTTACTCTTCACACGAGTTTTTTAAATTAAATATATTTTAAATTAATACCTTTTATAATCTAATTAATTAATTCAGCCAAGGATACATTTGCAGCCTTTCATCAGAGTCTTCGACAAACTGGAATTTCAATAGTGACTATTGATAGATGAGCAAGAATTGCACGAACACCGTATGTGGAGTAACAAGTCATTCTATTCTATTCTATTCTAATAAAAGACAAGAGGGGCTATCTGCAATTTAGTGCAAACTTTACCCCTGTATGAATAGGAAGGAAGAGTAAAAGAAAGTAAGAGTTAGAGAGCAGAGGAAATAAAGGAAGATAGGAAAGTGTGAAATAAGCAACCATAAGGCCCCCACAGGACCCCATGGGCGCCCGCATCGCCTTTATTAAAACAATATTTACAGAGGAATACAAATAGTTAACAGTAACATTTTTACATACAGATGCAATTAACAGAAGGATGCATATCTTTTGCATCAAAGTATATACAAACATATTAATGGATAAATAAATAATAATTGAACACAATGGATAAATACAGTTTTGGTTACATTATTAAACAGTAAATTTTTGCTTACATAATAGGAATTCGAATGGTTGGTTGAATAATTTTATACATATTTACAGTTATAACAGTTTAGAATGGGATGCAATACTTATTACATTAATGAAATATTAAATATACAACAGGTATAATTTTAAAGTAATACATTTAGTAATCAGTTGACAAAGAATTTTTGATGTAATCATACAGATCGAAATCCATAAAGTTTTAACAAGAAATTTTTACAAGATAACTTATAACTTAATAATCACACTATGTTATTCGTAGCACAATTGAATTTATATACATATAACAGTCTTTATTTTTAACATTTTTCTTTAATCTTCATCGCTTGTGAAGGAATTGTAGTTATTGTCGTCATCACTGTCATTAGTTTCTGTTGTATCTGTGTTGAGTATATTTAAATTCAGGTCACCAAACTGAGGTACTAATGCACCACT